CTCGGCGGAGAGGTATCCGAAGTAGCATCGAGAGGCAGCATCTGTGGTGGCTCTTTGTGGGCGTAGCCGTAGGTTTTATTAATGGTACCTGGATGAGGGACGCGTGGCGACAGAACCGCTCAACATGGCCAGGCAGACGACAGTAGTAGCAGATGGGTCTGTTATCCGGTGTGCGCCAAGGATTGTTGGGAAGCGTTGAAGGATGGCGGGAAAGGGGAACATGCGAACCTGCCGGTACGCCTGTTGCGTAGAAGGCGTTCGTTTAGTGGGCAGAGTCGACAACGTTTGGCGGCGCATGTGCCGGCCTTCACGCGACGTCAGCATAAGTCAGGGGAGCGGACACAGGCGGTGGCTGGTATGTGGACGGGAGGGCCTCGCAGACTTGCTCTTCGATGATTTGGCGCAGTGACGCGGTAAGCCCACGTGTATTGCTGGGAAGGAAGGGCGCAAGAGACAACTGGCGAACCACTTCCTCTCAGACGAATTGTTGGATTTGGGGCGTCAATACCGTCTGTTCCGTTGAAATTGCACCAACGGTCAATGGTGACGTGGTGGTCATAACGAAAGTAGGGCGTTGCGTTGAATTGTGGTGTTTTCGCAACTCATCGTAGTTTTGGCAGTGCCGAATAACTTCCGCAACTGTTCGCGGGTCTTTCACCACCAGCAGCATCATCTTCGATGCCCTTCATAATATGTTTGACCTTGGCTGTTTCGGACATGTTGGGATTGTAGCAATGGCAGAGGCCCACAACGTCCTCGATGTAGGATGTGAAACGCTCCCCAGACAGTTGGGCGCAATCTCACAAGCGCTGTTCTGCGCGGAGCTTGCGCACTGTTGGTCGGCCAAACACGTCCGCGAAGGTGGTCATGAAAGTGACCCAGTCAGTAAGCTCAGCCTCATGGTTGTTGAACCAGAGCTCCGCTACTCTTCTCAGGTAAAAGTGGACGCGGCCAAGTTTGTCGTTTTCGTCCCACCTATTATTGACGCTTACTCTCTCATACGAAGAGAGCCGGTCCTCGACGTCCTGCTCATCGGTGCCGCTGAAATGACTGGGTCTCACTCTGTCGAGACAGCGGGCAGGTGGGGATGTAGGAATGGTCTGCTGTGCAACGACGGTGGACATCGTTGACGGCGAAGGTAGAGTTCGGATGCGGAGTTCCAGGATGGGAAATGGATCCAGCACGCTCCATCACTTGTTACTACACCTTTAGCAGTGAGCCGAAGACACTTTTATCGGGGAAAATGCAGAGGTAGCTGACCAGCTGTCAAGCGGAGTGAGCGCGAGCAGCAACAGCACTCTTCCTTCTCTTATTTACTGGCGCTCCTGCCTGTGCCATATATCAATGCTACAAAAAGTACTTTGCAAGCCTCGATACTGCATGAGTTTTTTGCAAGTGTGTGTAGAACTTGGTAAACGGGCGAAAAAAAAAAAAAAAAAAACTGTGGCCAGATAGGCGCATTTGTTCGAAAGTGAAAACATCATATTCCTGAAAATAACCGCTCGTGAAGAAACTAACCTAGAAACAAAAATATGCCGTCTAATGTGTAAAAACCAAGACTTGAATACGGGACACGCTTTAGAATAAATTTGTATCCAAGCACAAACATGTTCTTGCTCTTCACTCACATCGAAATGTGGCTGCCGTAGCCGGGAATCGAACCCAGTCTCAAGTTTCGCAGTACAACAACGTACACCATATCAAGGCGTTTATGTACGGTGGAGCGCGGTAGCCATTGGTGATTTTACCAAACAAAATTTTTTCGTTGTTTTATTAGGAGCATTATCAATGCTTCTTTCGTCATTCATCTCAAGCTTGAGTCAAGAGAAAAGCGATTGAAAACCGCAGAAGAAAGTACGATGCGAGCGCATGCTATGTAGGCACAACGGTAGGCGTCGAAGCATCCTTACCGTGATGTCATCCAGGCATATCCCCAGGTGGTGCCAGCCCAACTTTTGGGGGCTAATACAGTTTAGAATAGTCTCATGCATAATATATGTGCAAGAAATCAACTAAGTTTTTCTGTGCACTGTCACATATTGCCACGTTCCTTTCTCAAGTTTACTCATTACCCCGTTACGCTGTACGCAATTCTCAGCACAAACCACGCCTACAGTGTTCGAAAAGCTTCAGGACTGCAGTCGATCATTTTGTTGAAATTTCGCCCACTTCATAACATTTCAGATTATTCTGGAACTTATGTCAGCGCTAGCGATAATGCTAGAATTTTTGATGGCAAGTGTAGAAATGCCGACACGCTTCCCCGCTTGTCAGTCGATCGCCGGCTGACGCTCTGCTTGCCGCTATCAGTGCCAGTGTCTTGCTGTAATCTGACTATTTTTTTACGTGGCCACAAGATCGGCCCAAATAAGCAGTTTATTATTCGACTCGCAGTCTGCTTTATTCGTCCCCATCACAACCCCGTGACATCATGATCGCTTTGCTGAAAGCATGACTACAGTCCACGGTTATATCGAACCCACATATATCGAACTTTTGGATATATTGAACTCATAAATTATCTCCTCGAAATTCCTTTGTAAAGGTATAAAAATTCACATGTTTATATCGAATGGTATTTTTACCCGCCTTTGGATATATCGAACGCCGTGCGAGCTAGAAGGCGTGCTTCGTTCGGCACTGACTGCACTCCGCAATCTCTGTGGCTCCACGCGCGAGTTGGAAGGTGCGCTTTGGCACTCACAGCGCCCGGCGAACTCTGTGCGGCACCACACTTCCACCAAAACAACGCTCTCTCTAACATGTGGAACCGTTTTTTTTTTTTTTTTTCATTTCTCTTTCTCTCTCTCATGCTTCCTCCGCGTACCCGTCGGCTCAAAGACCTGGAACGAAAGAGCAGACGTCTTCTTCCTTTCGCCTTTTTTTTATTTTTTTGTTGTTGTTTTGCAAATTTTCATCAGACAACCACAGCTCACACCTTTTGCTGTTGCCCTCGCAGGTGGCCACAATATCGCGAGCGTTTTTTGCTTCCGTTGTCGCATTGCCTACGTACCACCACATGTGCAGCATTTCTCTTTTGCGTGCACGGTGTGCAAAGCCGCGGCGAACTCCTTGAATTGTCAACTTCCCGTGTAGCTATGGCCAGCATCAAAAAGCACAATACCCTCAACTTTGCGACAAAGCTGAAGCCTATTCAGCATGTTGAGGCAGGCGAGAAATGTTTGACCATTGCGGACGACTTCAGAATATCACGGAGCACTCTGAGTACCTTGTTGAAGAGCAAACCAGATATCAAGGCAAAGGTGGCGAGCAGCGAATGTGGGAAGTCTGTCATGTGTGCGCTTCTGCCCACGGGAATGTAGAGAAAGTCCTCTATGCATGGTTTTTAGAAGTGCGCGTGAAGAACATTCCAGTGCATGGCTCGATGCTGATCGCCAAGGCCAAATGGTTTGCCGCAGCACTCAGTGAAACAACTTTGCCGACAACACCGGGTGGCTTCACAGATTTAAACAGCGCTACAACATCGCACGCAAAACCAATCCTGGCAAAAGCAAAGCTGTCAGCAGCCAGGACATCCAGCAGTAGATGACAAAAGAGAGTGCGGAAATCTCCGTGAAGTTTTCTCCCACGGAGATCTTCAATGCCTGGCGAGACGTGAAGACGGACACAGTGGTCAACTGCTTCTGCAAGGCAGGCTTCGAGACAGCGAAACTTGCGGAAATCGGTGAAGACGACGACGAGCGCATAGACGTCGCGTTTCACGAGTTGTAGTCCCACTTCCCTGCAGCACTTCCACACGAAGTGTCTGCGGACAACTTCGTGGAAGCGGACTGCAATGTCCAGGCCCTTGCGAGCCTCGCTGACGAGGACATAGTAGCTGCAGTCGCACGGACCCAGAATGCCCAGGCCGACAGCTCATGTGACGAGGAAAATTGTCTGGACAAGGCGCTGGCTGCACGCGCGTACTCTGCCGCTGAAGTGGCGGCAGCATTCGGCATCATTCGCTGTTGTATCAGCCACATGGCGGGAATAGGGCTGTCACACCTGGAAAGCTTTGATAAGATCGAGACTAGACTCTTCCCTATTTCAAAAACGAAAAAGCAGGCCAAGATAAGCGATTTTTTTTTTCACGCAAATAAATCATTCTGTTGCAGTGTGTGTGCAGAATTAGTTGTCATTTACTGACATGCTTTGGCCACAAAATAACACACACAAAGTAAAGAAACACTTGTGCTTGTCGTTTAGTGTTTCTTTACTTTGTGTGTGTTATTTTGCGGCCAAAGCATGTCAGTAAGCAAGTACCAACTACGCCAACAATCAGTATTGTTAGTTGTCATTCTTGAATGCGCATATCGCAAGTGATGATTCGGTACAGGTAAGCTCTTGGGGCCTCTATTTTTTTATATCAAATTTTTCATATATAGAACTAATTCATGATCCCCTTCGAGTTCGATATATTCGTGTTCGACTGTATGTTCGATGTGTCATTCGACATGCGGCTGGTAGCATAAAACTGCTGAGTGTTATTCTCCCTGCAATTTATTTCTGCAGCAATGGACCCCATCTTTTCCACTTAAATTATTGATCTTTGCTCCTAGACACTATTTCATTGCCTCAATTTCTCCCAGAATGAGGGGCAAAAAAAGAACAAAAAGAATAGAACCCTGGTTACTTTAGAATTCTGCATCAAGTACTGGCCCAAAATGTTCAACAAGAAAGAATGCTTGCATCTAACACACAAAGACCATAGTATAAATTCACTGAGCATGACACTTGCTTATCTCAAGACCAACCTCAACTGATAATGATGGTCACTGAGCTAACCTTTCTAATGGGCTACTCTTGAATTCCGCATTGAGTACTAGATCAAAATGTTCAACAAGAAAGAATGTTTGCATCCAACACATACAGACAGTGGCATAAATCCATTGAGCATGACACTTGCCTATCTCAAGACAGACATAAATTGATCAATAATAATGGTCACTGAACTAATTTTTCTTGAAGTTTTCCAGAAAGATAGAGGGAATATTTCGTACTTGCAAGTATGGTGACATTGTCAAAGTAGGCCCTGTTCTTAAAATAGGCCATGAGATCTTCCTCCGAACTGAAGCCCCTGAACATATTGAGACTAAGGCCTGACATCAGTGCAATCCAGGAGCAAGCTGCATTGTCAATCACATCAAGCCGATGCAGGAATGCCTCTTTGTTCTCAATGACTGAGGCACTGTTACCACGAGCAAATTCACGCAGTGCCTGGCTATGAGCCACATCTAGCACCAGTGGATAGTGCCGCAGGTTATCTCTCATCTAGAAGAAGAAAAAAAAAGGCATACAAGTGCATTATTTAAAAGGTTAGAAACACTCTCGCAGTTATGCCTCATTATTTGTAACTGCCAAAATAAAACTCAAAGCCGATTCCTGCTTGTGCTTATGCTGCCATGCTATAAAACAACACCGGTACAGAAAGAAGCAGGCAGATGAGACACTATCTCACAACTGACAACTTGTTAAAAATGTAAACTTATAGAGAAATTATAGTAACTCTAATAATATAACAAGCTTAAAAAGAAAGAGGCAGCACACCTATCTAGACTACAAGAATGATTTCCAATTATTATATGAATTATTTAATTGGGAAAACCTTAAGAATAATATAATTAGTACATTCTTTGATCTATATTAAAGGTTTAAGAACATCTAAATATGTTGTGAAACTGTTTTTCAATAAAACTAAAATGTTCACGAACAAAAGAAATGCATATTCGAAAAGACACATGAAACAAAAGATTTCTAGCATTTTTTTGCACCTGGTTTTTCATTACTTTGAGGAATTCTTGAACAAAATTCTTGAATTTTTTTTCACTCAATATACTGTGATACAGACAAAAGGTAGATAGAGTGAATTTAAAAGGACATGTCCGTAGAACAACAAGATGGCTGAGAAGCCACACAAGCATGTTACGTGCACTTGTCTTTATCACTCTTGAGAGCAGTTTCTACTGCTGTGTAATAATATTTTTGGAAAATATTGTACTGATAATGCTTATATGCACAATTGGACATTGGTCAAGTGCCACAGCTGGGACAGCATGGAATAACCCTTCTAAATCATGCTGTCTGGACACATTGCTTTCAGGCTTCTATGGTGGCTTCTTTAAACATCAGCAATGCTGAGATTAACTACACAACAATTTGTATTATGTTATAAATGCACTCCACACAAAAAATTAAGCGCCAAAAGAAGACAACAGCCTTACTCACATGCTTCAGCATTGCCAATGAATAGTCGCTGCTATTTTGTGCCAGGTAGTCTCTTATGTCTCGGGAAATGTTAAGCATCTTCTTGGCATACTGTGTCACTGTGTCCAGCAGTCTGAATGTTTCATTTGCCTAAAAAGAGATTGAAAGAGCATGGCTTCACCTACAAGTAATACCGGGACTCTAAAACACAGGGGTCAGAGGTTAAGTCTCTCATTAGATGGATTATAAATGCCAAGCAGTGGTTCATTGAACACAGAGGCCCACAGAAAAGATGGTTGTAAGTAAAGCTTGTCGCAAGGTCTGTGAAGCGTAAGCCTGTAGTGAGAAAGCATAAGGCAGTAAATGAGCTCAAGGCTGAGGAAGTGCCCAGTGTGCTTCAATCTGCTACTAAAGCTTGTGAGGAAAAAACACAGTATGGGCAAACACAGTAGCTCCAGAGCCTGTAAAAAATGTAATGGCCAGCTAGCCATGTCACTGACATTTCTGCAGGAGTTTTCAGAGACTGAGCTTGACTAAAGGCTATCAACATGTGAAAGCCAGGGATGATGTGTGATGCTGCAGTGTAACATGTCAAGTATAATAGTTTTTCTCTTCCATATGCATCATGGCTGTGACCTTTAAAAAAATGTTCAAGTACGGTCATTAAACTAGCCCAGCTTTCAATACTTCCACAGAGTCATTGGTATATGTCCCAAGTGTTTTTTTTTCTCCAGCAATGAAAAACTTAGTCTTCAAAAGAACTCCTGAAGACCAAGGTAGTTTAGCAACCTCATCGCTCATGTGAGCACTATATGCTATTGAAACATTAAACTATAACATAAAGCTACAACTTCAACGACTGAATTGTTCACACATTCTTTCTTTGTTCATTGCCACACAACCTGCACTTTTTTCCCTGGTCCTTTGCCATAAATGTAATTGCCTTCATCTCCTTCCCATTAATAGTTAATCTGATAGTTGTGGCCAGGATGGCTAATTTTGAAAGAATTTCATTGCAGCGGCAAAACAGTATATAGGATCATTATACAGAATGAATAAATATGTATGATTCACACATACTCCAAATTTTAAATCCTGATCAAACTGTGCAAAATCGTTAAAGAATAAATAAAAATGGTATGGTCCCGAAATGCTGCCTTAGAGTACACTGCTATACACTGCTAGTGGCGGCTGCATTTCCGATTGAGGCGGAAATGTTGTAGGCCTGTGTACTCAAATTTGGGTGCCATTAAAGAAGCCCAGGTGGTCGAAATTTCCGGAGCCCTCCACTACGGCGTCTCTCATAATCATATGGTGGTTTTGGGACGTTAAACCCCACAAATCAATCAAATCAATCAATTAGAGTACACTGCTAGAAGCTGTTTTTACCAAAAAATTATGCTTATAAATTGCGACATACTGTCTACAATCGCTCTAATAGGACTGACAGTGTGGCACTAAGCCACCATACATCATAGGATCAATCTTCCATAGATGCGGTCCTGGTTCAAAAAATCAAATGCTTGAGTTAAACATTAATTTTCTGCATTCAATGTGTTTAAAAATATATTCTACGTGAAAAGTGCGACATTTGTGGAGAGGCACTTTCTAAACCCAAATTGGGCAGTTGTTATCAGGTTGTGTTTCACTGCAAAAGAAAGCAAGACAGAAAATTAAGCTTCTAAAAACTAGAAAAGCACATGCAAGACTGACATAAGCCTGTAGCTATTAAAATTATTCTATTAATGATGTTTTAAAGGGCCCTCAATTTTAGAATTAAAATTTGCACTGAAAAAGTTCCACTAAAAAAAACCAAAGAGTTAAGGTGGGTGCAAGTTGACTGGCAATAAGATCTACATTAAACTTTATTGCACGAGTCTCCACGTTACAACAATTGCAAGAAGCACTATTTTTCAAACCTAAAATAGGTAAGAGAGGAGATATTGCTTTCAGATGCAATACTTCATAGCACTATGTCTTTGGATGCTTTTTCTGCTCGTGAAGTGTTTTTTGTTAGAGGGGGATGCTCCATATCTACGAAGGCAAGAATAAAGCCAAAATGTTCTATTTATTCAGCCTGAAGAAGCCCAGAGTGTTTCCAACTGCTCTTCAGAAGGCACATTACTGAAGAAAGGTTATACGAGGAAACTGCAGGAAAGACAGGCGCAGGTAATTGATAAGATCCATGTGGACATACACAACATTGGCAACAGCTGCAGGTGTTGTTCACAGAGACCCTGTGTTGCTATATGACTACAGGTTACAACAACAGGTGACACTGCAGTATTCTGACGTCCATCCTGGCACATCATTGATGTCAAGCAGCACTGACGATACATGCAATTCTTCCACTGCACAGCCAACACCATGAAACCACACAAAATAGCAGTGATAAATTCAAAAATAGAGGGCGAGTGCTGGGGCCGACGTTTCGAAAAGCAGACTTTTCTTTTTCAGGGCTGCAAGAGATCTGTTTATATATAGATACTGCGATCTGTTCCCAGATCTTAGCACGGTGTTAATACATAAAAAATACAAACAATTTAGCACACACAAATTGCAGGCTTTCTTCAAACATTTGTAAGAATTAAAAAAAAAATCACTGGTAAAAAACGAATGAAATAACACAAAGAAATTAATAACATATTCATATGTTTTTCAAACATGGCTAAAGACTTCTGAGAAACTACATTGGTATTAAGATTATTCCAGTTCGTTATAGTCCGGGGAAAGAAAGAATATTTAGAACTGATATTTCTTGTGGTAAAGGAAACTAGGGTTAAAGCGTGCTTTTGCCTTGTTTCACAACCTGTTGAGAAAGGAAAATAGTTTGAAGTGTTGGTGTTATAATGACCGTTTACAAGCTGATATAAAAATTTTAATCGGCAGAAACGGGGGGGGGGGGGGGGGGGGTAGCCCACTACATTTAATTAGCTCACTCACAGATGTGTGATCATAGAAATTAAAAATGAATGGAACTACCTTATGCTGTACACGTTCGAACTACCTTATTCCAAAATGAATCGAACTACCTAATGCCATACACAGTTTTTTAACATTCGTTAAAGTGAATGGTCCCAGATAATCACTGCATATTCTAACAACGGCCGAATGTATGAATTGTAGGTTAAGAAACAAAAAGTAGGTGTGAATCACTTCAATGTGTGTCTCAAAAAAAAAAAAGTTTGCATAAGGAACTAGAAACAACAGTATCAATGTGTTTATTCCAAGAAAGCCTACTGGTGATCCACAGGCCCAAGTATTTGTACTGTGTTACTTCTAATAGTGATACACTGTTCACACCATATTTATAATGAAGAGGTCTTTTCTTGTTGGTAATTCTCATATAAACAGTTTTAAGTTTTATCAAAACTAATTACCATTTGCCATCTTTCAAACCATGCAATGACCTTTGCCAGGTCATTATTTAGACACACCTGATCAAGTGAACATATCTTACCATATAAAATACAGTCATCTGCATAAACTTTCACACAAAGAGGAAGTTCTACCACAATGTCATGAATAATTAATAAAATTGGTCCTAAAACTGACCCCTGGGGGACACCAGAAACAACCTCAACACTTTTAGACGAGGCATTGTTTAGGGTGACGAAGTGGCGTCTGTCAGATAGGTAGGCTGTAATCCAAGCAAGTATCTGATCTTTTTTTTTTTTAATAACTTAACTTGTGAATTAATTTATTATGTGACACATTGTCAAATGCCTTGCAGAAAGAAATCCACGAATAGGGTCTGTTTGTTTTCCTTCATTAATCGACTGCGCGAAATCATGCACAGTTTCAACTAACTGCGTACACGTAGAAAATCTGCACCTAAAACCATGTTGTACACCCACGAGTACCCTGTTCTCTTCCAAGAAACCTACCATATGTTTATGAATTATATGTTCTAAAATTTTGCATGACGTAGAGGTTAGTGATACGGGTCGGTAGTTCTCGAAGTGCGATTTTTTGCCTAATTTGTGCAAAGGTTTGATTTCGGCTGTCCTCTAGCCATCCGTTAAGGAACCATCGTTTAACGATCTGGTGAACACAACATACGAGTATTTAGCACAACCATTCTGCAAAGCGCTTCAAAAACGCATTCCAAGGCCACACAAGCTGGAAGGTGGTGCCAAAGGCTCTAATGTAGACACTGCCTCCTGACCCAGCCAGCTGTTTCTCCGAGTACTCACTCAGCATCATTGGCAATAGGTTGCAGTGCACAAATGGCAACCATTTGAGCTTTGCTGGCTGCCTACTGCAGTTAACCAGCCAAATTAACAGGGATGGAAACCGGGAGTCTTGGTTTAGTATATTCTGAGACATGTCTATAAGGTATGCTTCCTAGGTATGATTGAGCAGGTATATCGGCATATTGTGTGTGCATCTACCTTCCTTATGTGGGTCATCTACATACCCTTCACCACAGATTCAGCCTACTTCAAACAGGCTGGCTGCCCTTATTGTGCAGCCAAGTCCTACTCCTTCTGGCCTTCTGATTTTTCTTCAAGTAATGGGCTCTCCCTGGCATTTGGGACTTCTGCAACTGAGGCAGGCCCTGGACTAGCATCAAGGAAAGTGACAGCATCGACCCTCCATGTTCTTCTGACACTGTTCTCTCTACCTGGCCCTCACAAGAACAACCGCAACATTTTGGACATTGCTTTTTTACTAGCTCTCTTTGGTTGGGCCAAATTTGCCTCTTGGCCCAGGTCAGCCTACTTTGCCAGCTGGCCTTGTTCTTCAGAAGAGGGGAATGTGGGAAGTATTGCCCCAGTGGTATCAATGCAGACATCGCTAGTGCACCAGACTGACCTTCCTGCGTGAACTGTGCTTCTTCTTCCTGGTGGCAGGGTGAAAGGCAAGCACACATTGCACCCCTGATTAGCCTCCTAGTGACAGCCTTTAGTTGTTCTCTCACCAGATTGTTCTTCTACTGTGTGCTCTTTTGACAAAGTAGATGTTCACAGGCTTACAATGAGTTGCATATATGTGACCTTTGTTCCATGACTTTTCATTCTTGCAATCTGTGGACTCTTACTTGCTTGCTTTGCCAAAAGTACAGCAAGCACTTGTACTCAATTATATTGTCTTGTGGTGAGCCTTTGCCTGCAAATTGTGCCTGTCGCACTGTGTTGCATCTTGCATTAAAAAGGCCATGTTTGCCGACAATCTGTCTGTGGTTCCCCCTCTTCGCCGCGTCAAAAAGTCAACAGACCCAACTGCAGTTCTTTTTGTGCACTGTGCTGTGGAGGAACACTGCGTCCTTCCCTTCAGTGTCCATAGAGGCAAGCCTTGCAGAAACCCCTCTTTACACAATTCAATGACCACTCGACTGTTTTCCATATGTTTTCACGTAGTATAATGATCACCTTTGTTGATTCTGGCTTCAGTTCTTTCAACTATTTGAATTAGGATGCTATCTGGTTCACTTGCTTTGCAATGGTAGCAACTTCAAAGCCCACCTTATTTCACTTTCTAAAACTGTTGGTTCTAGATTATATTTGATCTCTTCACAAGGCACTCCCTCAGCACTGTTTTAAGAAAGATCCTACTAGGGGTCAATGTAAAATGTTACGTGTATGCAAAAAAAATCTCCACATCGTTGCTTAACAGCCGCGCCCACCGATGGAGACAGTCTGCCCAGATGCCCCACTGCATATGAGCGACAGAAGGTCTGCGCTTCTTTTGGGGTGCCATAGCCAGCCTTGCACGTTAGTTCGGGCGCTGGAGTTTAGACATTCTTGCATGATCTGTGACAGGCTGTGGTTCTACTCTACTTTGCCTAAACCAAGGAAAGACCTAGGAACAGCAAGGAGGGCCATGTTAAGCCCCCAAGAACAATCAGCTTTGCTATTTAAGCTTCCCATGGCTAGTGTAAACTTCCTTTTTTTTTCTTAAACAGATTTTTTGCGTGTTTCTTCCATCTTTTATCTCTTCCCCAATGTGAGGCATTTCTCTAGAGTTTCAGATACTACATTATGTTTACGCTGAAAATCTTTGGTGATTTCTATTCTGTTTTCTCCTTCTATTTACTTTTCTCAATTTCTTTACAATTTGCCCTTTCGCACTTTCGTGACTACACCTACTCCCATTGTTGGTATGTTAACAATGAGTTCAAGTTCACATTTTGGTGCTATGAGTGCTTATGGACAGCTAATGCCACTTAAGGGAAGATGCGATTCGAAAAAAAAAAAAGTTGCATTAATCTGTAGCCAAGGCAATGAAAGTTTTGCTGTATATAATAAAGCTTTTATGCTGATTTCAAGAATGTAATTAGTTTTATGGTAGGTTGCGCAGTTTTTGTTTTGTGCCATGGCAATGTGTAACATATAGCTTATTTTGCACAAGCATTTTATGCCACTAAACTTTTATGGTACTGAGCCATTATTGCCTCATATTGCTCCACATTGACTGTGAATGCAAATAACTATCAAAAAAGTGTGTATAAGACATTTTAATGGACAAGAAAGATTCTAATATAAAAATTCTCAAAATTCTCCACCTATACTAATTGCCAAGTTTAGGTTCGTAATAATTATAGAGGAGATACCAAGTTTTAAAGGAAATACTTGCATCCTTCACATGTCAAGGAATATGTGCGCAAAAATTCATCTTAATCGGGCTATCATAAGCACTAAAAACATAATACCCAAACCCAGAAGTTGCCGAAAATGAATCTCGCAAAAATAACATTTTAGATGCGTAAGTGAAAGCTAATTTATGCGGAAAAGATATGCTTTCTAAAACGACTTCTTTCATCATGGCAGCTTGTCAATTACGGTTATTTTGAGCATGTGGTTTTAGTGAACTCCTCATGCAAAATGCAATGGCAAAAAGCCAGCTGAGAATTTCCAAGAAACTCAAGACAATTATTTTTTTTTGTTTTTAGTAGACACCTTGTACTCTTTAAAAGAGATTTTAACCTACTTTGAATTTATTTACAAGCTTCAGTTTTTTTTTTCAACACAAATACCGGCTCTTTTACCCTTAAAGGATAAAAGAGGCGGTATAATTCGGTATTTTATCAGTTTTGCTTTTGAGTTTCTTTATTCAAAAAGAAGGGATTTTTAAAGCTCCTCCACAATCGGATAGGTGAGTGCTTGTGGATTCGGTTGTAGTGTCGACATCACTCACAGATGACCTATGAAAACAATGAATTTTGACAGATTTCAATGAACTTGAGTGTCGATCTCCGAGCGATGGTAACAGCACAGACATGGAAGACAACTTCAAGTTGTCAGACTTCAGTAAAGATGGCGAAAGTGTGTCAAAACTGCCCTGGAACATCAGCAGGTATCTGCAGTAAGTTTTGCTCGCTCCATTGGCCGTTTCATCACTGCTGAGCATTGATGTAAATGTATCCAGTGCTTACCGGGGTCACTGCTCTAAATGCAAGGTGCCAGCTTGGTTCAAGAAGGAGCATTTGGCGCCACCTCCAGAAACAGTAGTTTGCTCCACAAAGACAACATGGAGCCGATCCTGACCTAGCACTCGATAGTGCCACATGGAGGTTTATTTGTGTTATTTTTAGTAGAAGTCATCAGAGAGACATGCAACCATAAAAATAAGTATGCGTGGATATATATTTTTGAAAAGACAATGCACAATAAGCCAACTTTTATTTCCCCGCAGCGAGAAACTGCTTTACGCAGTGGCATGATGAGCACTATTGCTTATATTTTTGTATGTATGTAAATACCTTTTGTATTTACAGAGCTTATATTTGCAGTATTATTCTATAAGCCCTTGTGTTCAAACGTATATTTCGACTTTTTTCAAATGTTTACTCTCAGCAGAGTAGCACTGATGTTCTTATGACTTTTGTTTTTGTTGATTTTCCTTCGTTCTGATAATTTTTTGATAACATTAGAAACTAAGACTGTTGTTTGACAAACAGTTGATAAGACCAATTCTTCTCCTATAATTCGTATCTTACACTTCAGCCTCAATTTTTATGGCAAGAAAAAATATTTCCTGGACTATCCAAAAATAACATTCTGGGGTCATGAAAGTGTTAAAGGCACACTAAACTGAAACAATGAATCAATTTATATTGATAATTTATACTCTAAGAACCTTAATATCATTAATTTCACCATCATAGGTTTATTATTATAGTATAAAATCAGGATTTAAGTTCCAATTTCGAATTTTGCTCCCAAATGTTTGCACAAGACATTACGAATTTAAAATGGTATTTTTAGTGTTCCCACAATAATGATGCAACATAATTTCCAGAATTTTGGTATGCCACATCTGTCTCTTTCAGACGATAATCTACTTCGCTTTTACTGATTAGGAACATCGGACCTAGCAGACGCTGCTCAAAATCTATATTGTCATAGCATTAGGTGTAGGAATTTCAAAGTGGCAATACCAGCAATATTTTCTTTTGGTGCGTTTTTTCGTCTAGCAAGGGTCTTTTCGTGTCAAGCATGGTAATTTCAAAGCTGTGAAAGGGTAATTTACTAAAATTAAACAATTTGTCGGTCTCTTCAGTGTCTCTTTAATACTTTCCCTTGCCTAACATAGCCTGTTTTTGAAACTTGAGCATTAATGATTGTTTCCATTCCTCATCACCCTTTGCATTGACTATCCTTATTTCTTTTGCTATGCAAACTGCTTTCATTGAGAGCCAAAGAGTTTTGTCTCCCTTTTTCTTTCTTGGAATGTGTTTAACCCTTAACAACATGGATTATGATTGAATGTCTATAAATATGTGAAGTATAAATGATTTGATGCCGAGGTTCTCAATACAAATTTAATGCAAGTGGAAGTGTTAAAATAAATTATTGTATTTACAGCACTTAATTGTAATTACACCATAATAGAATGATGTGATTAACATTAAAAGATAAGAGGATGGCAGCATGGGTAAGAGAACAGACAGGAGTTGCAGATATGCTAGCTGAGTTCAAGTGAGAAAAATGGACCTGGGCTGGTCACTAAATGCATAGAAGGAACAACCGGTGAACAGTAAGAGCTACAAAATGGTTACCAAGGGATGGAAAATGCAGCAAAGGAAGGCAGAGAGTTTTGTGGAGAGACAAAATTAGGAAGTTCACAGAGGTGAAATGGAATCAGCTTGCACAGAGTAAGGTAAACTAGAGATCATTGCAAAAGGCCTTCGTCCTGCAGTGGACTAACATAGACTGAGAATGATAATTATGATAAAATAATGATCAAATCTATATGTACAGCCATGCTGTATTTACTCATTAACCGAATTTAACGACCACCTCAAATTACTTGCATTAGTTATCTTCTGCCACCGAACATTCCTGAAAAGTTTAAAAATATTAGAAGATTCTTGCTGAAATTCTGCATGTCCAATGTCTCATTAACCATGGTACTGCTTCCTCTAGAGCGATCAATTGTAGCTATTTCAAGCAGAAGTTATGTAATGCCCTCCAGGCCGCTGTCAAGAAGCAGCAGCGATAATAAAGCCATGATTAGCAGGACAACTAGTAGCATCCAGTAGCGTCTTATGAAAATTAATCACACCGCTTAATATGTACATGGCATCTAAAACGAACTTTCAACAGCAGAGCTATTTAAGCTGGCTGCAATCATTTCAACGCAAACAAAAAAAGTCTCAGATGGGTACGTGCCACAGGAATCGGGCAAGCTCCATTGCTGAGTACAGCAAGAATGCATTAATGAGGCCCTGAAACACTTTTTCAAGTAACCGTGAAATGAAAAATGAATTCATTAAAAGAGTTTATTGCTTTACCACTGCAAAAATTTTAAGAATCCATCCTGTATGAGCAGAGTTACAAATATTTGTCGCACACTGCAATTGCATTCTCTCTTCTCTCGTCCCGATGAAAGCACTAGAAGCCAAGCAGGAAGGGATGGCAGGGGCAAAGAAAATATGTCACACACGCCTTGCAACCTTGAAAATTTGTTTTATTTTTTTCCCCCTTCGAATACGCAACTTTTCAAGTGTGATCCCGTGCCCATGCGTGGACAAGTCCCCGCTTCTCGCAGCGATCCCTGTAACGACAGAGCGCGCCATGTTCAAATCAGCCAATGGCTGATAGGTGGCCTTCTACGAGTGATTTTTGAGCGTCTCCCGTTTTTTGTAGAGAGAAGAGAAAGTAATTTTTAGCGTGTTTTGATAATTTATTGTAAATTCCAGGCCACGTGTTGCACTATAATATTTGGATCGCGTGTTCTTGGGAGCCTCTACTACCGATCAGCAGTGTTTTCTGACCATGCTCAAAAAGTGTTGCAGGGCTTCTTTAACCATAAACAAAATTATAAAAAAGGAGAGGGAAAGAAAAATTGAGTGACAGTAGGCAAGAGAGAAAATGAGATGGCAATGAAGACAAAGAAAGAAAAATAACAGTAATCAGGATAAAAAGACATTCACAGAGAAATAGACGAAAAGAAACAGACAAAAAAAGAAAGACAGTAATAGAGAGAAACAAAGAAAGAGAAATAAAGGTAATAAAGACGCAAAAAGACATTGAAAGAGAAATTGATAAAAAAAACGAAGCAAAAAAAAAGAAAGTAAAAAAACTGAGAGGATGATTTAAAAGAAAAAGAGAGTAATAGAGAGAACCAAAGAGAAAAATAAAGGTAATAAGGACACAAAAAGACATTGACAGAGAATTAGACAGAAATAGACACAAAAAAAGAGATAGAAAAGAAAGAGAGAGCAAGACTAAGAAGAGAAAAAGAGTACATCTGTTAGTACTCTTTTTCTCTTTTTTGTTTTTAGTAGGCACCTTGTGCTCTTTAAAAGAGATTCTAACCTACTTCAAATTTATTTACAAGCTTCAGTTTTGTCTTCAGCAAAGAAAGAGAAATAAAGATAATAACGACACAAAAGACATTGACAGAGAAATTGACAGAAAGAAACAGCCACAAAAAGAGAAAGCAAGGAAACAGAGAGCAAGACTAAAAAGAGAAAGAGAGTAATCGAACCAAAGAAAGAAAAAAAACAGAGAGTCAGAAAGATAGAAAAAGAGAGAAAGAGAAAAATAGCAAAAGAAAGAAACACAGATACAAGAAAAAGAGAGAAAGAGAAAAATGAAAAAGAAAATAAGAAACAAGAAAGGCTACCCAGCTCCACTCTTCCTTCAGGTATGGCACCACTTGGTGCGAAGCTAGGCATGCGAATAGTAAGCTTTAGGTTCGAAAAAAATTCGAAGTGAATAGTGATTTGGTTGAAAATTTTCAAATTAAATTTTAATAGTATGTATCACACATTGTGAAGAAAAATGAGCTTATTTGTCATGATCCAACTAATCTGAACTATATTTTTAAAAACTGAAGCAAGGCATTCGCAAATGTCACTCACTTTGCTTCAAAGAGTAATGGAAGCAACTTTAAATACTTAGAAGCAGGATTCGATTTCCAGTAGAATGCAAGTAATAACCTGTAAAATACATTACATTTCAAAATTTACCACAATTAGAGAATGTAAGCCGGTACAACAAGCTTTTAAACTTTAAAGATGATGAACCAATGTGAGGGTAATATGTTCATATAAACTTTGAGAAACGCTTCGTGGCAGTGCTATTTACCCTAGATAGGGGCATTCACGGTAAAGCAACCATTCGCTGCCATAAGACCTCTTTTGCAGGGGGTTAAATACGGTTTACAGATGTCTACTTAGTCATTCCAAATACTTAGAAATTGAAGTTCCTGTCTAAGCAGATTCGAATACTGAAATATCCATTAGAATATTTATTGCACTCAAATATTCGCACATTTATTTTTTTTTTCCATATTCTTACTTTCTAACAAGTGGTGTGCAGCAAGTGGTGTGTAGGCCTAACATGATGATAGATTTTACACGAGTAAGTACGGTATTTAAATTGCTAAGATAGCAACACAAGTTTGGCATGCCCACATGCTTTATGCTTCTTAGAAAACGCACAGTGTGTGCAGCACGTTAAAATTATTAGGCCCAAAACTAAACCAAATGCCATCATTTCACTTTATAATTCTTGACAGGGTCAATATTGATATAACAAAATAAATGAGTCATATATTGTGGAAGTTCATTTTGCTTTGTCTTTTTAAAGGGCTTGCATCATGAAATATTCATCATGAACTTTGTCACTCAGAACTAATAGGGTTAGTTAATTTCCTCCTCCTCGACTAGCTTCTACACTAGCTAAGGAGGGAAAATGTTTGAGGTTCGGAATGGGTCCTCTCAAAGACTCGAGTGCACAGTGGCAGCGCGTAGAAAGAGCCGTAGCCCGGTGAAGAGACGCTTTATTGCAGCCTCAGGCGTATACCCGAGTCTAAGCCGGAACCTCCACTCTCCCATTTCAGATTCAAACACCCTCTTTTCATCCCTCGGTTGAACAAAGGGTCTTCACACAAGTCAATCACACATGTGGGCTCGCATTGCCACAACCAATTGGAGAAACACTTTCATAATAGACACTGCATTGGTAAAAACCACGTTACCAAATACAACATGCAAAGGGATAGATTCTCCACGTGTGACACTCTCTCCCATGCCAGGCCGTGCTGCCTCCGTCGGCCGACTTTCGTTGGCGGCCGTTCTCACGCTCGAGCTCCGTCAGCTCACTCATTAAATGTTGCTTCGCAGAAGCCTCCTTAAGAGCGGTGAGTACACTGTTGGGCTCTGTGCGCTTACCAGGTGCGTATGCGGCAGCGAGGCGCCCCGACATCCTAACAACACTGGGTACCTAATGACGTACAGCGGGGGAGGTTATGCTCGTCTCCCTGCCGCCACTATGTCTCGGTCAGCCAAGTGGTCGCGTCCCCGCGTCATTCTTAATGGCCCGCGTGCATGCCAGCAATGGCTTAAACTCAGACGGCGGCGCCTGGCCTGCTTCTTGCCAGACGCTCTTCTGAGTAAGCCTTCCCCTTCTAGTTCCAAGCAGGGGCGACCTTGACGGCTCCGCTCTTGAACCGTGTGAACGAATAAGTCTCCTTCCTTTCTTTCCCGTGCTCGGGTCTTCCGCGTTCGCCTTCGCGGAACCGATCAGCTTCGCTAGTTGACGGGTCAGGAACTGGATACGCGCTCTGCATCAGCCGCAATAATTGCGCTACACACAACACACCAGTAATTGTTGCCTCATACTAACTGTGTTCTTCGTTGCCTCAGAACACAATGCAATCCATTTTTGCCAGCAACGAATCCCATAGGCTCTAGCAAACAGCAGCATAATCTATGACACCATGGCATGACAGTACGATGACATTACGACAATATTGTCGCCCATCTATGTCTTTCATTATTTTTTTTTTTCCGGTTCGCTGGCTTATAAAGTGTATTCTCAATGCAGTGAGCAGAGTTTGTGGTATTACATAAGGCAACTTACCAATAATACAAGTAAAACGATTTTTATTTTGTCATTTTAAACATTTTACACATTAAGAACAAACACATAAAGAAGAACACCGGTACTTGCCTTGTGAACAATTAAATTAGCAGCGGTATTGTTAGGAGTGTAAAGTACTTTCGGGTTGCTATATAGTACGTGGACAAGAATTCCAATCTGCTCCTTCTGGTACTCTGAAATGCCAATATCTGGAACACAGTAAACGCACACTTTAGGGTGCATGGAAAAACTGTCAGAAGTTCCCCCCCCCCCCTTAATCAAAATCACCAAAACATACAAAGACATACATGATTATGGCTGAGCTTAAGCCATGCTGTTCAAGCTTTGGAATAGGGGTCTGTATCTTAGCTAATGAGTAAGGCAATATTGAGCATGTACAGTAGCGGTCATTACTTTAAAGAACATGTGATCGCGTGGCAGCATGCGCCGCCTTAACAGCTGATCGGCTGCTGTCGAGAGTCTCACAGTGCGCATTGGCCCCCATTTTATCTTGTTGGCCTGCTTGCTTGCTTGCTGCGCGCCAGCCGGCAGGCCGCTTATCGGAATAGGCAATACCTGCTGCCAGTAATGCTGACAGCACCACAGCAAAAACCCAAACTCAGCTTTTTTGAAATAAATGGAAGTGCTTCTTAGCAAAGATGGTGGACGTATCTGGCAAGCAGGCACCACTTTGCAGTGCTTGTTAAGGGGTTTTATAATGTAGTTGCACTGAGTGAAACGCACGAATGAGTAATAAAACAAAAGGAAAGGATAGGTGGTGCTAGGGGAGTGCTTTATGTTTATTGCTATATGCGTTCTTCGAGATCTATTTGCGGCTGTCCAAGATCTGTTTAATAGATTGTAGATATGACATTGTGATAGGCCCTTGAAAAATAACTATTCGCTTCCTTACTTTGATAAATAGTCATGGCAACATGCTTGTAGAAGACTAACTGGCAATGTGAAAAATTCATTGTATACATTCCCCTATGCAAGACTTTTCAAAGAACATGTTTGTTCACCAATATGAAGATGCAATGACAGCGAAAATATATGAGCATAGTTGAGTGAACGGCCAGTGTTTTTTTTAATAGTGACATTTTTTCAGCAATAGTGGTCTGTGCCAGGAATGTTTCGGATTCATGTCCAGAAACAGGGCCCAGCAGCAATGCCTGGTGAGTAGTGGATGCAGCTAGATATTCCGATATTTGAGCCACACGTTGGCTTGCAGAAAGCGAGCAAACAAGCAAGATAGAATGGCTACACATGCACACTCCAAGGCTCTCAACAACAGACAAAAGCCATTAGATGGAGTGCATATGCACACTGCCATGTGATCACATGGTTTGCAAACTTATAATTGCGAATGTACACTGCAACAGAGGGGACTTTGTATGCCCATCTTCTACTGTCCTGTCTGTTTTCCTAAGTTTGAAGATCTTACCTTAAGACTTGGCATGAAACATGAGAATAAACTGTAGATAGTGAATTTAATTTTGACCGAAATCGTTGTTTTTTTCAAAATTTATTTATTCATTCCCCTTTTCATGCCTTCAGAATACTTGTCAAAAAAGTTAAAATTTAATTAGACAAATGAAAGAGCTGTATGTAAATTACTCAATCATTTATTAATCTCTATGAATCCTTACAACAAAGATTCATTCAATAAATATTTTTAACATACTCAGATTGATGTCTTCATCATCACTGGACATGCTTGCTTCTGATTTTTCAACTTTTCCACAGACCATGCGCTGCATTCCAAGCCAAATTCTCAAAAGGCCATACTGTGGCTTTGTCCTCTTGACCTGTAACAGCACACAGTATCACTCAGAACTGTCGCCAAGATCCCGAAAAGGTAAACAAAAACCAACACCTCCATATTCACAAATTTAAAGGTACTTTTGCAGAGTAAATGTTCACATACTACATTAGGCATTTTGCTAGACAAAATCATATGGCATGGTGACCACAACCAAATGCAGTTTTCGACATTGGAGGAAAAACAAACTATCTTGCAGTGTCCCCCTCTTTCTCCAAGTACTTTTCTGTCAATGAACAAGTACTTTGCATTTTTCTTCAACCCTTATTTGAAATGCCATCCCCAGAGGGAGTATATAAAATGAAAACTTCTTTTTGTCAAAATAACTCAATGATTGATATGTAGGGTTTAACATCCCAAAAGCACCATATGATTATGAGAGACACCGTAGAGGAGGGCTCCGGAAATTTCGACCACCTGGGGTTATTTAACGTGCACCCAAATCTGAGCACACGGGTCTACAGCATTTTCACCTCCATTAAAAATGCAGCCGCCGCAGCCGGGATTCAATCTCGAGACCTGCGGGTCAGCAGCCAAGTATCTTTGCCACTAGACAACTGCGGCGGGGCTTGTCGGAATAACTCACTTGAAGCTTTATACACACCACAACATTAAAATGAATATCAAGACTTGGAGGGTAAGTAATGCTGCTACCTCAGCTTTTCCAGAAATAGCTGGCTAATTGTTTACTCTTACGTTATGATTTCAACAATGCAAATAAGTATCCGTGACATTCATTGCTTCACCATTGAGCAAAACTGTGACTTTTATAATTACAAAAACTGGGGAATGAAAATTAGGTTTGGAGCCTCCACCACCAAACAGGTCAAGAGTGCCATGGTAGTACCTCAGCCTCTCCTGTGAGCACACCCAAGATCGGGACAGAAATGTTGACCAGAATTTTCAAATAATGTATACCTCTATAAAAAATTAATGGCCACATCACAAATATTGACAGTGCTCGCTGATATGTTCTAAGGTACGAAATATAGTATTGTAAAGACAAATATAGTTGTAAAAGGCAGCCCATTCACTTAAGGAAATAATATATGAAAAGTGCGTGCAAAATGAGGTATTGGGCTAGTACGCTTTTCATGACTGAAAAAAATTGCGCTTCAGTTGCTGCGGAGAACAAAGGTAGGGAGAGGAGACGGGAAATGAAGTGGACAGTACAGTGCACTTGTACTGTCCACTTCATTTTTTGCATTCTCCCTAACTTCGTTCTCCGCAGCAACTGTAGCACAATTTTTTCAGTCAAGTGAACACAAACCATCCCAAATTTTTAACACATTTTAACACTATTTCACAATGCCGGAATTGAAAATTGACGTCACCTGGTCTAGAATTTGATGGCTGTTTGAAGAAGTGCTCTCATCCTCCAAGACGGTGGCATTATGAGGCAAAGTGGAGTTTGTGTCATTGAGATTGTGGCATGCATCCTGAGGCAATTCCAAAGCCAGCTCCGAGATTTCTTGCACGGCAGTTTCGAAGAGATTAAACCTGTGTAACTGTTAAAAGAAAATGAACTTTCAGGAAGCGGAGGATCATAATCTTTCCGATACATGAACAGGGCTTTTCCGTTCCTTCTTTTTCACTGCTAGCAATTTTTTATTTTGTTTAATTTGTCATACTGCAATATTAGTCAGCCAAACGGCATTGCCTATCGTAGACAGCTTTTTTAGCACATCAAAGGCAGTATTGCCAGCACAAAGTTTGAAGTGAAGAGAGATGGCTACAACAGTAGTATGATTAACTGGGTGTTAATATAACAATGCAACGCTCAGTAACGATGACTAATAGTTCACATTGCTGCCAGTGTTGTCATCACTAAACATGTTCACATTGCATGTTGTCAATTTCATTATACTCGAGTTACCTATTCTTAATCATGTTATAAGCTATGTCGGGTACAATAAATTGTTGGTAATGTAGTATTGTATAAAGGTAGCATTATCTTTCAAGGTTTTAATTACGGATCTTGTAACTATGCCTATCCCATGTCACGCTGAATTGGCATTCATTAAGTGGCAATGGCTGAAGAGACAGACAGCATCGGTGGTATGACAACTCTAGAGAAAAGAGCAAGTCCTGCTAGCAAATATCTATTAGTATGTGATAAACGTCTACACATAATATGCACTGTAGCATGCATTTGTGTACTACCAGCTTTAATTAGCATTTTAAAAACACCCCATAAATGTAGAAAGGAAACATAATTATGTTCTACTTAGCAAGTATGTGACAGCTGTACATATTGCTAAAAAAACAAGGCAGCAGTGCAGGGTCCACAGAGATAAGTCAGCAGAAACATGTCCACTTTGCTCAAAGGAATTCCTCAAAATGTTAACACCTGTATTCTAGAGCATCCCTTCACTCAATGCTTCACCTTGAGTTGAGAAAGTAGATGGAAGCACAGTCTCTAAGCAGAACAAATCACTGCATATATTAGCCATAATATGCAGTGATTTTTGAAAAGCACAGTGTCATTTTCAGTCGAGCAGTGGCGCAGTGCTCAACACAGTCAAGTGAAGGAAGAAATTCGAGTCAAGGAGCATTTGTGAATACAGGGGGAAAGACTGAAAAAAGAATGAAGTGGAGTAATACAGTGACTTACCAATAATGAACAATGATGTCAGCAACTTTTAAGGCCAAGTTGTGACTGATGGAGAAACCAGGCTACACCACTAAGACAATGACAGCAAGCAAGAAACCATAACCCAAAAGAATACAACACAATCTTTCTGGGGGATGATGAATCCTTACGAATAAAGATTAAGTACAGTAGATAGATTACCCACCCCAAAATGATCATAACAGTGCCTGTAATGGCCGAGTGCTGTGTCTGCCCTACGAAGCCATTATAGAAATATGGTGCTCCTACACAAACATGGATCAGACCACATGCCTAATGTTATTGTATGAGCCATTTCAAAAGAGGGACACAGGTTTTCAGCTTCGAATACCTAACTTATTTTCCAGAGCTCACTCTGAGTGGGTGAAATAAGTGGAGTGTACGTGTGTGTGCACATGTGTGTGTGTGTGTACGTGTGTGCATGTGTGCGTGTACACACATGAAGTAGTAAAATCGCACTTGTTTCAAACATATAATGAAGTATCTTCAATAGTGAAATTTTTTTTTAATGATAAAGCACTTAACAGAAGTTACTGGAGACTATTGCCAAGGATGCAACATTCATTATTGTTATTTTTTAATCCTATATCAAAGAAGCAGCACATAAAAAGCGCAGGTGCTCAAGGTGCAGTGAATTTAAACACTTAACTGAGTTGTTTACACACTTCCCGCTACACGTCAAGCTTTTAACTGACTGAATCTATGTCATAACAAAGATGAATAATAGCAAATGATTTCATTTTTCTTTTTTTTTAATCTGTGTTCCTTCCTGAATGTCTCATGCACAGCACTTTTACACATAAGCGGATCTGTTAAAGGCTGTGAAGACCTTCTTTTATGTACTTTCGTGAAGCACTTCTCATGTTCGTTTTAGTAGCATGTTTGGAATGAATGGAACCACTACAGTTTGTTTCACAACGCTGGTGTACCAAAGGGCAATGCTATTCTATAAACTTTTATTTTCTAACGTTGCTGTGAAATGGTTCGAGTGCTCTTTTAGAAAAAAGAAAATGAAGGTTTCATTCCAAATGAAGTGACTGTTTCTTCAATCTTTCCAATAAGAGACTGACCACTCTATAGTAGTCACTAATATATAATATAACTGACCGTTTCAAGATTACTTACTCCCGTGCAATTCTTGGTGTATTGCAAGTTAATGAAAACTTGCACTGAAAAAACTTACTTTCTATGGAAGTGCCTGCTGAAACAAGTTAAAATTGATTGCATTTAGTGGTGAAACAAAAGAGACATAAATACAACAGTATGTTGCCACTTTAGGCACATGTCCTGCTGGATTAGGTTCCTTGCAAAATTCATGCTCTAATTCTGACAATTCTTTGCAGCAAGCTGGCATAGCCAGTGTGATTTGGCATAGAATCTCCACCTCGCTGGCATAAATTTCAACCAGAAGTGAACTTATTTTCTGAGGGAATAGATTAACACAAATGTATAATTTCTTACTTCTATCTTGCAGAGCTTCTCAAAATTAGTACAATAACCTATATTAGCACTATGCAAGTTAACAGAGTAAAAAAACGAAATCCAAACGATGCATTTATGCACTTACATCATCTGCAAGCTTTTCCATTCTTTTGTGGGCGACGGATAAGTTCCAATGGTCAAGAGCGAGCTGTCAAAGAGAGTAAATGTGTCATATTATCACAGGACTGAGTGCCAGGACAAAGGTCTATGACATGATGAATTACTAGAATCTAGGCAGCAGAATGTGTGAAAATATTTACTAGGCTGGCTGTTCAAACTACACTAATGTCTTAGGCTTTGAATGTAGTTAACTTTGTATTAACAAGATGAGGTACAACAAATGAAAAGATAATTGAAGAGTAGTAGTTTCCCCACCGAAGCCTGTGTATGTTTAACACAGTATGCAGTACCAATAGAAAAGACTGTCTCGATCAGGTGGCAGTGCAATGATTTGCTAATAGCACTTCGTCATACTTGGTACTTCATCAGTGGTTTGTTTACATTTCAACTGCATGCACTCTATTTTACTGCTGGTGGTACTCATGCCGTAGGGCAGTGTACTACAGTTTCGTTACAGTTAGATCATTACATTAAAGTAAAGAAACCACAAATAATACCCCTTATGCTTTTCTACCTTAATTGTCTATAGGTTTCATTATTGTGTACATTACAGAAAAATAAGCTTCTTGAACAATTTGCTGACTTTCAAACTTTCATAAACAAGGGTTTTTTTCCCAGCAGGCTTGATACCTTCGGTAACATGTGAGGGTTTATCGATCAGCCACCACGTCATGCGATGATCATGTGCGTCGTGATGCCTTCGGCCAAAAAAAGAGTGTTTGATACTTGCTCCATGGGCTGCATGGTGGCCCTGGATAAGACTCCAAGGTATTAAGCATACAAATACCCTACAAAGAAGCGGACAAGAGGGAACCCTTCATTGTAGCTTTAACAGTAGGGTATCAGATGTGCAATTCGAAGGTTGTGGATTTGGATTCTACGAAAGGAAAAAGTGATCTTTATCCACTTCTTTTCTTTCAGATTAAAGGGGAAGAAGGGTCTTAAAAAAAGTTTATTTATTACCTTATTTTAATGAAAATGAGCATGCATCTGTATAACTGAATTAAGATTTAAAACCTGCAGACGTATTTCAAATATCTCATTCAGAAAGAAAGAAATGATGAATTTCTGCATTGTAATGACGTAATTTTTTACAAGTCGTTATGGTAACTTACCATATAAAAAGTTCATTTCAAAGCTATGTGGCTATTCTGAAAGGTCCACCCCACAGGCTAAAGCAAACTAGATGTCAAAATAGCTATTTCTTCAATCAGAATAATATTCAAACTAGGAAAGTCAAATGTAATAGAATGGAAAGTTGGGCGAGTTGGTTTGAAGACATTCTTGGTAACATTTCGGGGCACACACAAAGGACGGGAAAACGGAAGGCGAGGAGACAAACAAGCACGCTTTTTTGTCTCCTCGCCTTTCATTTTCCCATCCACTGTGTGCGCGCCGAAATGTTACCAAGAATAGAGAGGTAAATATGAGCTTCGAGTAACTAGCTGGCCTTTTCAAATAATTGCACTCCTATCAAGGTTCAGAAAAAAAAAAAAGAAAAGCTTTAGCCTGTAGTTCAAGAGCTATGGAAATGAATGATACCAAGATTGTTTAAAAATGTTCACAGAAACAATCTCGAAACTTCCAAAGGAAGATTCGCTTCAAAAAAATAACAAAGCCAAGAAAACTGCATTTCAAGTTTTAAAAACATTTGCGATTTAATCTATCCAGCCTTTAAGAAAAAGAAAAGGTATTTTGCCATAACATAGCATTTTTTCAAAGTGTAATTTCGACTATAAATGCCTCAAACTGTCATTTTTGAAAATATATAAATTTTTAATTTCCTGCTATTTTAGGACCCTCATCCCCCCTTAAAGGGACACTAAAGTCAAATAACAATATAAGTCAGAGTGAAAGCTTAATGTATGACAACATCTAAAACGACAATATTATCAACAGCAGTGCCTTACTTACTGAGAAACTAATGTAAATGCACGAAAACACATGTGCCACGAGTATGACATTCGCAAAATGATCCCGATAATGTCCGATAAATTGCATACAATTAATCACTAGTAATCGAACTAGCTGCACTACATAGAGAACCTTCTGTGCATAAAGAGACGTAATTAAATTCTGCCTGTTCGTTTGTTCAATTCATGGAAAACAGAACCACCGGACGTTACTATGGGGAGCGACGCGAGTGGTTCATAAGTTCAATTTTCGCCTGGTTAAACTGAACAGGTCGTGCCATCTAGCGGGGCCCAGTTGAAGCAAGCATGCTGGCCATGTCGAAGGCCATGGCGAAGGCCATGGCGAAGGCCATGGCAGGAAATTGTTCAATTGCTCTCACTACTTTCATTTTGCTGCTACTAGTGTCGGTGGCCGCTGAGCTTGGCAACAATGAAATGAAAGGTTCCACTTGAGGTGGGTAATTTGAAGTGTGCTAACGTGATACACACCACTAAAATGTGATTTTCTTTCAAAATAAGCAATTCCTTAGCACAAAAGTAGCACTATGAGATTTTTGGACCACTATTTCAGCAATCAAGATAGACTTAACATTTGCCCTCACTGTTCCCTTAAGAAAGAATAAGTAAATAACAGTTAAAAAGCTACAAATAATTCCCCCTATGCTTTCCTTGGCTTATTTGTCTGTCAGCTTCATTGTGTGAATTCCCCTTACATTAGTACTACAAGCACACTTGCAAAGTGCCAATTATGCCATAATTTTTTCTTCTAACATCAGTGAGGGGCCCACTATGCATATGTAAAAGAACATGCAAACCTAAGCAGGTGTTCGTTTAGTTGATGCTTTTTCTGCTGATAATTACAGATTATGTCTAAGCATTTGGTAATGCGTGGGTCTTCAAAACACTCACTTGCTGTGCCATTCACATGCTTTGACACCTGGTGCAATTCTACGCCTTTCCCACACAGTATCACACACGTCAAGAAGACTCCTCCCACTACATGACATTCAGAATGTTTTATATTTTTTGTTTCATTTTTCCTCAAAAGTAGCTTCATGCTCGGTGGTAGAACACTTTCTTGCCAAGCAAAAGGCCTTTGGTTTGATTCTCACTTGAAGCGAAAATTTTTATTGCTTATTTTATATGTATCTTTCTCGATTTCTAACTCACAGACAACGATTTTTTTGCCCACATTTAATGATGCCCATACCGATGCCGACACCGGAACCCACATTTAATGATGCCCATACCGATGCCGACACCGGAATTTCAATTTAAGTTACTATTCAAGATACCAAAATTTCAAGTCATTATAAGTAATGAGAAAGTACTTTCTTACACGACCAATTATCTGGTTGCCATTAATGATCTGACCTCACAATAAGCATGCAAGCTAAATTTGTGCTGACACCACACATGCTGCTGAAAGCAAATACTAAAAGACACACTTTAGTCAGTCCTAACTTGTCCCTATTTGAGTAGTTCACAATTGCATGGCAAGGCCAGAATAAAATGCAGTCACTATATTACATGTCCGGCAAGGCATGTTATATGTGCATGTGGTGCAGCTGAGGCTGCAATAAACTTTTGTGCATGTGCAGCAAATGCATTTTCACCACTGATCCTGAGCCCTGATATCATATCTGTGGCAACTAAGTTTATCGGCATTTCTAAGTGTGCTGAAAGAGCATTGCAAACCTATGGTATTGCAAAATGCTCTGTATGCCAGCATAATGTAGCTGTTTATGTTATTTCGAAACATCTTCTGCATCTAGCCATAAGTGGTGTATCAAATGAGAAGATTGAAGTACTCAATCAATGAGCTCTAGAACTGCTGATAAGCCCAATAAATACTACAATGAATGTGCAACATTATAAAATTTCGAGTAATGACCAAATAGACCATGCTATTCAATTTGTCTTCCACTTGAGAATTCATTATTGGAAGGTGTCAAATATACGGTTTATTTTACCATTACACACATTTACTAAACATCTTCCTAATATTCTTACCACGTGGTGAAAAAATCTTGGTTACTTGCAACCAGTTTCACAACTTACATAATTTTTTTTATCACAACAATGCTGTACTCAGTATGTCATAAGCTAATTCAAGAGAAAATAGCTTCTCAACTTCGGTGCCCTTCTTGGCAACAGATGTGCACAGACTAGAAAGGAAAAAAAAAGATGGCATTTTGCTGCAAATGTTAATTATACCTTTTGACCCATGTATTAACCAGAAGTGCATTCTGTGATTCCAAAAGATTATGACACTGGTAAAACTTTTCTTTCAAATTATCAAGATTAGTAAATCATTTTCAAGACCTCACAGCACTGCAGAGGCACTATCAATGCTGTCCTTATTCCACTGTTTATTTTCTCACTCTTCCATAATAATCCTAGTTCTGAGGAAGGCAAGAAATCTTCCTGGAATACATATGACATGCTTAGTAACAGATAAGCACCAAATGTATGTTTTTGCAATTATCAGTCAGCTATGTTCATTAGATTCAGATGAGGCCTGGACCCATGAAGACAAGTGCCGATAAAACATCATGGTCTCTGGCACTTCATTATAATTATTCTTGCCTTGGTTTTGGTTTTCTGAACGCTGGAACTGATATCGCTGTCATTCAGTCATGGCCTTACTCAAGAGTGAAGAGCCTATCATGAAAATACAGTGCATATGGATTTATCACAGAGATGTCAAAATTTGGCTTTTCTGTTACTTTATTAGATCAAGAAAGCATGTATATTATTGTTTTTATACACATTAAATGTGGTTCTGTGCACAAAGTGCAAAGAGCAATAACAACATTCAGAGGACATATGAAATTAAGAATGCAGAAATTGCTTGCCTTTCAAATCTGCAATTTTTCTCAACCATGTTGGTAAAACATTGTTGTTTAGTACATAACTTTTGTTCATTAATGCATACTGGACATTGCGATGCCGGAGACAATCCAGAGACCGCCAAAACTGTCATAAATAAAACTTGCTTTGCCAGCTAGCTAGTGCAAGTTCAGTGCTTTGCTTTCTAATGCCGTTGTACTGCTTGCTTAATTTCACCAAAACAAAGTACTAATCACCATTGTGAATCCCACTGTGTCTGTACTTCCAAATTTAAGGCAGTATAGACATACTCTTGTGCAGTAAATATGTAGGAACATTTTGTCCTAGAGGAGGCACCTTTTTTCCTGGACAATGAATGTTGTTAGGCATAAAAAGGAACCAAACCAGCAATGCAATAGTTCTGCTCAAGAGTGAAGAAATGAGTGCAATAATTTTTCTCTCTCTCTCTCTCTCTCTCTCTCTCTCTCTATATATATATATATATATATATATATATATATATATATATATATATATCAAGATTAATTTTTAACACTGTAAGCTTTGTCATTTTCTGAGATTGTCTAGCTCACTGAAAGCATAGTTTTAGAGAAGAATAATCTAGAACAAAGACAAAACAAATTTTATATTTTATTTCCACCACAAGAGCACAATTACTTCACATCTTAAACCTAAGGCACCCAAGACTAAAACATTTACCACCAACTGTTTATTGGGGCCTTATAGCTCAAGAGACCACACAAAATTAAGCAGCAGTGACACTTGGCAATAAATGAGTTTTTATCCCTTCAGCTTTCCCTTGAATATCATGTAATGAAAACTAGCAATGAAGTGGTGAACTTTAAAAGAAATCCATGGAAAACATATGCTCCTTACTGTCTCAGCAAGTTTCTTGCGGTCGACTTGTCGTTTCAGCTCTGAAGACAGTAGTGCAGTTTCACTACTTGTAAGGTTGCAGAAATGCATCTGAAGATCAGCCTGAAAGTCACACAGGCAAGCATCCAGTCAAACATAGCCAAATTAACACTCTGGACAACATCAATGGGTTCATGCCCCTAGAGTAAATGTATACAATTGAAGTTCAGTAAAGTTTGCAGCCACCAATCCAAATCAATAAAGTTTTGAATTTGTGGGATGCCGGGTCGACAAAAGACAGATTTCAACATAAAAAAGTGCCGCCATATCCACGAAGTGAATGATGATGAGTGGGCGAAGCTCCGGAGGTAAACCTGGTAAACTATGAATCCTCCGTACATTTTGCCCACTCGATTTCATTACAACGCTCCCCCTAGCGTACGTTGCTCCACTAAATCGAACGATTGCCTTCCACCAATGACACGCGCCATATGTGACATCATTCCTATTTTATAACATCTCGCATCTTTCATCATCAACTACAAGTACCGTCACCTAGTTTATAACATCTTGCATCTTTTCATCATCAGCTATAAGTACTGCCATCTAGTGAACACTACAAGAACTAAACAAGAGGTGGCTACATACAAGTGATGGTACCGCTATCTAGTGAACACTGCAAGGACTAAACGAGAAGTGGCTACATACAGGGGATGCACAGCCCATGCCTTAAGGAGCTTCGCCCCTAAAACATAACTGTTTATTAACCTGGTAGCGACAGTGAGGCGAGCATGCCGACACTGCACTCGAATGGTTAGAGAAACAATTATAAAAGCGAACTGAACAGCTTGGGTTTTATAACAACCAGTGATGACTTAAGCCTCCGGTGAAACTGCCGTGGCATTGTTCCTCATCAAAAGTCTGTTTCAGCAAGTGGTCGTGTCACGCCGGGCTATCCAGTGATAATACAGAGGCTGCGCAAGTTTGAGCGCAATGGTCGCCACAAGTTGATTATCCATCAATTAAGGTCAAACGCTGATAAAAGATTGCTATTATAATTCTGGCCTGGAGAGATGAATTTTCAGCCACACAAATAAGCGACACGTCAGCCCAAGTTTATCAACTCAGCACAAAGCAAAAGTGCTTTTTTTTTTTTTTTGACAAATAAGTTTGTCAGCAGTGCATCCCTAAGCTGGTATTGATTTGCCTAAAAGCAGAGTTAGAATCTGTGCAAGTACTAAGCATTAACAAAGGTCATTATTTTGTACACTTTGGTGTTACTTCACAAAATCGCAAGGGGTCAGCAAGCCCCCCCCCCCCCCCCTCTTTCAGATAGACCTTTGGTTTGTGAGCTCGCGGAGTCCTCTATGCTCTGGATGTGTACAAGATTGTCTGTCAGCAGACAGTCAATCTCACATTCCCACATACCCCTCAGCAAGCAAGGCTAGTTCACATACCCCTTCACACGCACTGCAGTCAGAGACTCAAAGCCATGGACCACATTGGTTCCTGCTTTAACCCCCTCTTCCCCCACTCCCTGCCTTTTTAAATGCCCTGGACATTTTTTGCGTAGACTGCTTCATAGTCTCAGGCACTCTTCCGAGACTTCTGCTTGTCTGTATTATTCGACTTGGCCAGTATCAGAAACGCAACCGCTATAAACAAATCAAGACATTCTCGGGAACAATTTAATCAGAAAAAAAAAAGAAGAGCCTAAAAAAAAATGAAGATGCCAAACGAAGTAAACATCATGACTTAACCACATATTACAACTTTCTTTTTTTCACTGAAACAATTACAAAATACGTATATACAGCCATGACACATTTAAAAAAAAAAAAGTTGCTTGATCGGCTAACAATGATTAGATACTATTCCAGAAATATGACAAGTGCTTGTCGAGAGTGCTCACTTTTTATTACAAAGTGAAACCAAGACAATCAAAACAAGCCACTAAAAAAGCTTTATGAATAGCTTTAAGTCTTTGTGGTCTTTTGTTGGGAGGGGCACAACAATGCAACACATCCGCAGCGGTCCACTGTTAGGCACCCGATGTTCCACAAATATTGCTGAAAGACTTAGGCTCAATGACCACAGCAAAAATGAACATCCAATGAGTTTTTCTTTCACAGTTATTTTTGCAATGAATGTGCACTTTTTCGGTTAAACTTCAGTAACTTTCCTTGTAGCACACATAAATAACAGGAAGAAATGAAGGCATATATAGACAGACAGAGCGCTACAGAGCGCTAACTTCTAACGTAGTTTATTCTCAGAAACCAGAGAACACTTATGCACTTGTCTGACGAGTCACAGTCATGTCACCACGTGAATAAAGCAACAACATAAGTATAAAACATACATACATATATATACACATAGAATAATAACCTCATGTCTTGCACAGATACGTTAAAGTGCTATCAACTGCTGGCTGACACACATATCTCCAAGTGCAGTGTTCGGTTTCTATTATAAAATGTGTCATTTCCCATTTGTGTGCAGCTATTATTCTGGTGTTTCCAAAGATAGGGGAACATTGATGCTGTTTACAATGTTGCAGGAGAAAACCATCACTAGCATTTTTCCCAACTTTATTTTTGTTTTCATGCAACCTATCCCTGATGCATCTTCCTGATTGACATAATTGTACAGCATGGGTTTTAAGAATGCAGGGTGCATATGGCTTGTACACATTTCTTTAGCAGCCCGGGCCAGACACAAGACTGTATTGGCCCTATATTTTTTATTATTTTCTTGATAAGTATGTACATGAGCTGTACAGACATAACTGGTTTCGCTCATTTTTTTTTCATGAGGCACCGTATGCAGGGCACCTAGTGTTGAAGCATTATGGTAAGAGAACAACAGAAAAAAATTATCTTTCAGAATGGCCGTCTAAATGTCAGTCATTCTGAAGATTGGCATCGATATGTTGTTGTTTTTTTTTCTTTCCCGAATCCTGCCCATCGCCAAGTGACTTCAGATGTGACCCACATATGAGGTATGGGAAAGGCATTTCAAACAGCAATGTGAGCTGACATGTTGTGAAGGCTAACCCCAGCAAAGGCCACCTTCACTGTGCTGGCCCCTTGCCGCTTATTGCGGCTTATTAGCTGAGCCGAGTTTTGAGACGCCTGTTGTACAGGCACAAAAAAATTAGGTGCCTGAAAAATCAGTTGGCAACTACATCTGACAATTTCGCTACCATAATATATATTTTGAGGCATGTGTTAACAAAACATTGCTTTGCTACTTAACAGACACGATGTTGAATCTCCCATGTTTGACTTCATTGTGCTGCTGCATAATGAAATTGAAAATGGGACATTCGGAGAATACTTCAACAAATGGCCAACCAAATTTTGGATTTTGTTCATTCTGTCAGATAATTTGTTATATCAGTATTCTCTATATTGAAGCTCAACTGCACCATCTGAAACTGAAAAAACTACCATGAAATAAGGTTAGTACTATATCACCTTGCCAACCATAGTTTGCAGCATCAAACAGTAACCAAGTGTTCCTGCGTCTCCAGAAATGTTTAGTCAAACAAGACAGTATGATAGTTATAATCACAGGAATAGATAGAAAGCTAAATTACACTCTCGCAAGATAAACCAGATGGAATCAATCACCTCATTAATACAAATTGCAAACTAAAGTTCCATGTACTCAACTTCTTCTGATAGTACTGTCAGAAGCATTGCTGCACACAATGCGTCCTAGCAGTATTTCCCAATAATGCTGTCATGTATTTCTGACAACAGGAGTTGCTACAGGGCCAACATAATTAACTAGACTACATCATTAAAATGCATTCGATCCAAAAAACCTGTAATCAATTTAGAATAAACTGTAATACTCATTAGGAATTATTATTATTATTATTATTATTGTTGTTATTATTATTATTATTATTATTATTATTGTTATTATTATTATTATTATTATTTGATAAGAGTCTACTCAAAAGAAATACAAATCAATAAGAAATTTGTAAATGGGGCATCTGTCCAGGAGCCAGTGTTTCGACAAACGGAGTTGTCTTTTTCAAGGCTGTAACTGCTACAAAAAGACAAGTCCACTTGTCAAAAACGTTGGCTCTAGCACATGCACCCTGTTCCCAAATTTCTCATTGCAAGCTTGCATCTGCCCCTGAAGTTTCAATTGGTTTAGTAGATGGTTTTTAGCATGCAAAGATGTAAAATTCAATACCACACCGTAGAGTGCATGAAAACTAATAAGGTAGCATTGATGACTTACAATACTCTCTGCTGAGATCGAGGCATTCAACTTGAACACTTTGGGCATTTCATGGTATTCACAGAATGATGCTCTCAACACTTCTGGGGACAGCAGCAATGCCTAAAAATAAAATAGTACAACAAATTTTTATACCTGCAGCAAACATTTCAGAGACGTATTACTTTGTCCTTTAGTCAGGTGACACCTGCAGCAATGAACAGGTGAGCTTTAGAGTACACTCTCAAGAGGTTTCAATCATTAAGCCAGTGTTGCTTTGGGATTCTAAATGCCATGAATCAATCAACTTAAAAATGTTTTCAATGTAAAAGAGCTCTTGCTCAGGAATTCCTTTGCACAAAACCTTTTTCAAAGCAATTCGTGTCATTAGAGTTACATTAACCAAGAACACATTGGGAATTTCATGGTATTTTTATTTACAACACAAATGTAGCTTTTTTTTTTTTTTGGAGAATACAGGAAGTTCTGGATCTTCACCAGCAAAAGGCAACACTCTTGCCTGCTGCAGCTCATGGACAAAGTGACTCCCTTTTTATTACTACCAAACTTAGTGGGAAAATTACACGGACAGAAGAAGGGAACGTGACAAATGAGGATGAGTACTAACTACCAAATATTTGTTTCAACTGATACACTCTCTTTTATACAAAGTGATCTACATACACCTGTCATGCCCCTTCTCAAAGCAAAGCTGAAAAATTGGAAATCTAAGCTGAAAAAATAAGAACAGTACCGCTTCACACTTCAGAGTTCAAGAAGCCCAGTTTGGCACTGTGTGAAAATTAGAAGCTTCGTTGATACAGATACATGAACCCTTGTGGATAAAGAATGCTCCCAAGGCCACATGAGTGGTGTAGTTGGCATACTTGCCTAAAATCTTGGTCTCAAAAAAACATGCCTCGCAACCACATGCAGTGATGTGGGCAACCAATTATGCTTATCTGTCATCCTTTTGTCTAGCTTTTAGCACATGCTCCCGGGGCCAGTCTTTGAGACACCTGCCAGACATGTTACTACGAGCAATCATGCCCTGTTTAGAAATTTCATTTGCTGTCATTGGAAATTCGAAGGGAGAGCCATAAAAGCTTTTTAGGAGCTGTTAAGACAGCAGGAATACTTTGTATGCTCGTGACCATTAACAGGTTATATTAGGAGCTGTAAAAATCGCAGGAATACTTTGTATGCTCATGACTATTCACAGGTTATGTGAGACCTTATGGACATTAGGCATAACTAAGGGTCTCATCCCCTCTTGCTGTGTTTTGGCCCTTCGGTTCCAACTCTGTTCTTTACCTTACGCAGGATAGATTCAACTACGGCATCAACAAGCAGCTCAGTGAAAGTCACTGCCAAAAGGAACTAATCTGATATTCAAACCTATTATGCATTTGACACAGACACGGCTTTTGCAGCCCATCAACCAGGCACTGACATGCGATGCCTCTTTTCAGGACTTCAGGGTGGGCAAAATCAAAAGGAAGGAGACTGTGCTTGACCCATGGGAGGTACACGCCACATACATGGCTGTTGTAAAACTCTAACCCGAGATCCAAGAACTGCAAACAGTGTTGCCAACTGCAGGGTAATTACCAAACTATAGATATTTTCAACATTTTTTGGGCAGCATAGGGTAGTAGGGTGGTAATATGACTTTCTTACCAGCATAGGGTAATTTAAACATTTTTCTCGTCATCAATCAGTGAAACATTTAGATTAGTGACGCTACATCTCCGAGGGTGAAATTCCTAAGCAGACTTGAAAACCATATCTTTTCTTGAATAAAATTGAAACAGTCTTAATTCTCATTTCACTAGCGTAAAGAAGAGATGAAAGTGAATGCATCAGATATCTCTATGCTAATATTCTCTATTTTTTTTATGAACAATTTTTTCCTCTTTGTCACCTATTTATTCTATGCCTAAAAGGGCTTTCAAATTTTGCAATGGTGGCTGTTTACAGTTATTGAGGCAAAAGCATTAGATGCTTCATCAAACATTAAAACATCACTGGCATGAACATGAGTGCTTTAAAAAATTATATATATGAATTTAACATGGACTTGCCAATTTATAAGATCATTATAGTCACATCACCTCATGACGTCATCATGACGGCAGATATCGCCAAAATTTATAATGTCTTCATGAAGTAATAGTGGCATCAGTGTGAAAAACAATGCGACGTCAAATGTTGACGTAACACATGACATCATCACTTGGTCCCAAGTGGGCAGATTTCGGAGGCACGTGAGAGGCAGAAATTTCACAATGCCTGCGACTCAAGCCGCAGCGCAAAACCATGCTAGGCACAGAAATGTTCTGAGGCTCGGGGTGGGGGATTAATACAATGGGCTGAGAAGAAGAAAAAGAAGATGGCTTTCGCCTTGCAAGATCATGCAAGTTTTTAATGACAGTTGATGAATGGAGCATCTACTTTATAACATGAAGGTGACGTGCGCTCAACCAACCTCAAGATTTTGTTTTTATTATAATTGTTATTATTATATTATGGCTTAATTTTGTCAAGCTAAATGAAGGTTCTCTCCCTATAAAAGAAAAACTTATAAATTCACAGCACAACTTTCTGCATTTCGTTGCAGATTGTTAGAACCGGCAGTGCAAGGACACGGCCTACAAGAGACACTCATTGGCGAGCCCTCCAAATGCAGTCTGCTTCCTGCAGGAACACAAGGTGTTTGTGCGTACAGCACGGAACATGCATCAATGTCGCTGGATACGCAGTCTGAGTTGGACAGAATGCTGGACGAGAAGCAGCTGCACGGACCGGGGGTATAAAAAATGTGTCGCATATGCACTGTAAGCTCTCCATGTAGCCTTCGCTGACCCTCTTGTGTCTGAAAGCCTAGTTTGCGAGCTCTTGTAAATATGTAAATAAAACGTGTGGTCTTGTATGTAAGAAGCCTTCCAAGAGTTCTCCTTCCCCGGCACCTGTGTGACAGCCTGTATCCACTCCTCGGTCTTGTTTTCCAGTTTCTTTTCTGTGATCTTTTCTGCCACTAATCCTCTAGTCTCTTACTTATTTCTCGTGCCGACCTATTTACCTATCCAATGTTGTCCCGAAAACGCAAGGCTAGTAAGCTAGTGCCCCAACATTCTCCTGAGCGTATGTCGCCACATTCAACAAAAAAATGCTTTGTCATTTCCTTAACCTTTCTAAACATGTGCATTTTTCTGCTTCACTGAATCTCACTGGCTATACATACTAAAGCAACCCAACTTGACTGTAAAAAGTTTTCTCTTTTTTCTCTTGAATTATCGCGAAATGTATGCATCCTTGCTTATTCTGTCTTTATTTTGTTCATAGTTACAGATAACCAGTTTTCAATCCATTGCTGCTGCACCATACATCTTTTTTGTCTCTCTTAAGTTTTGCTTAATGCTCTTTGTTGCTTTATCCCTTACAATAGCCAGACATATAATTGCTGATGAGCCTCGTAGTTGTTTTTCTTCACTCTGAGGCAACACTCCACCGATCCAAACATGGCAACTCTTTCTTCTCCCATCCACCATATTTCATGTTTCTTATTATCTCCTTGAAACTAACTTTAAAACTGATCTAAGTTTCCACGAACTTCAGCAATACCAAACATCTGCATGTTGTACAGTGAAGTGTAGTCTGTATTTTATTATTATTACACTGCACTATTTTCAAGAGTAGATTAAAATATAGGGCAATTAAAAATTTTTGTGAGGTAAAGAAGGGTAATTATGATCATGTCGTAGGTCATTTTCCCAAAATGGGTAAGCAGCACTGACTGCAGCCCCTCAGCATAAAGCAAATCCTGTATGAAACTCAGATCCTGCCCTGGTTGCACAAGAACATCTAGAATACCCTTAGGAGATAACTCTATATCCTCAGAACTATACTGTTATCGATATACCTAAAAAATTCAGGAACCTCTCCGACATTAAAAGTGAAAACTTCAATGTCACCTAAAAAGGTATTGCACAATATTAAAGCAATGCAGGACCCAATACAACACACACCCCTGCAATGCAAAAAACGTTGCTCATCAAAAACAATGAATGTTATACTAAGTTAAAATTCTAACAAAACTATGAAATTGACAACTGACAAGCAGACACAGTTTTCAAAGTCACATTTTTCACTCTCTTCAATACAACTCCAGACATTAGCCAGAGGTTTATCTTGAGGAACTGCATAAACCAGATAAACATAGAGAGCCTATACCTTCGTTTCTTTCAAAATTTCAGCAACTTCCCCAGATTTTTTTCATGAGTGCCAACAATCATAACTGCTTCAAGGCTCTTCAATACAAATGAGCTCACATTATTTTGTCAAGCCCCATCATCACTAGAGACCATACTTTAGGCAAGCGCCTATGTTGTTCCCTGCACTCTGATTGCCCGACTTCGATATATAAGCATGAATTAGGCGTTAAGAAAGGCTTTTAGAGCTTTAATAGTGCCTATAAATGCCAATTTTTTACGTCTGCCTAAATGCCTCTAAGGGTCCGTAAATGCCTCTTTTCACGATCGGGGCCAATATGAACACTGATCTCAAGTTTCACTTTTGAGCACAGTTCAAGGCAGTTATCCACGTTACAGAGCAGCAGTAATTGTTCAAAATTCTATGGGGTTCAACCTAGTCCTCTAGTTCAGTCGACTGCCCGAAAAAAACTGCTAGTAGCAGCAAAATGGAATGCACGCTGACATAGTGCAAATGCTTGACAAATGCAAAACAGAAGAAAGCAAAGGAAAAAGGAAAATGTGGCATGCACGTGGATTTCGTTTTGTTTGTATAAAAGACTCTCAATAGATGAAAATTTGTTAAACAGAACTGCTGCTTAAATGGAACAACTGCCTTTGATGTGATTGGTTTAATACCTGAATGTTGCAACCCAGTTCAACTCTCATTAAACAGAATTCCAGTTAAATGGAACACATTTTGTCGGTTCCTTCAGTTTTGGTTGACAAAAGTCTACTGTAATTTACATTTTAAAGTATTCACCAACAGTGAGAAACTGTCCCAGTGCAATTTGACCAAGCCAATAAGAGGCATTCCTACATTCTGGTCTTTTAGAGGCCTGGCTATCTTTTTCTGCCCTGCCTTCCCAGACA